ATTATATATTAAAGTGAGAATTGGAGATTCGTGGTTCGTGTCCCGTTGACCCGAAAACTAATGGGTGTGCTATTAAAGCCCAAGAGTTGGTGTCGTTAACTTGTGGCAACTTTGTGAAAAATACTGTTAAATCTCTTAATTGTCTCCCATTAGCTCAGCGGAAAGTCTGAGGTTTTATGACGCTCAAAATTGGGTTTCAATACCCGTGATAGAGAAGCATTTCTGTAGCTGAGTGCTTAATAACAAACAATCTCTAAATCATAAATGTATTATCTTATATAAAATATGTTAAATTCTCATTTTGAAGTTCAAACGACCATTATAAGTATTAAAACAAAGCTTGACTTCATTATAAATGAATAAAACAATATATGTAATTGTTAAAAAAAGAGTTTACTTCCTGTAGGTTTATCAAGCGAATCGTAGGAACTATGTGTGGAAAGACAAATATTACGGTCGGACCTTAGATGAATGTGGTTTCAGGTATACACTTTACCAGTTTTTTCACAATGGTATTCAGCTTAAAGTGAGTCTCATTGACAGAGTCTTGGAGAAGCTCCAAGAATTGCGAAAAACCATTGAAAACCAACACTCCTTTCGATTCTATTCTAGTTCCTTGCTGGTATTGTACGAGGGCTGCGAACATAACAACAACAGTCTAGATTTTGGCGATAGAATTCAGGCTACGTCAAGTCATAACATTTCCTATAATGGGGATGAAAATATCGAATTGCACTTTTTAAGAGAGCATCCAATCTGTGATAAAAGAATTTTGACATCAGAGCCATCTCGAAGTCGAAGTTACGAGAGTCTTTTTGAGAACGTGAAGGACATCACTGATGTGACTGAAATGTCTCAATCGTGGTGGTCGTCGTATAAGCTCTCGCAACGTTCTTGTATGTCAGCTAGAGCCTCGGATGTTTCATCAGTAGACATCAGGATGATTGACTTTGCCCACACAACATACAAAGGTTACAAGGGGGACACGACTATTCACAATGGACCTGATAATGGGTACCTTTTGGGATTAGACAATCTTGTTCGTATTCTGCGAGAAGTCCTTAATATGAACCAGAAGTATTCTTCAGCAGCTGTATGTCATAGAGAAGATTTAGTATATCAAGGAACTTGAGTATTTAATCATGGTGTGAAGAATGCTAAAGTGTGATTATGTTCGGAATATTTGTGTATTCAAGGTCTAAGAACTGGAATATGTTAAACTAAACGTAATTACACATTGTTCAGTTTTATATTTCTACCAAATTACTTGTTATTAACACTTGAAGTCATGGCACTTTTTGGGAGAGGGGGCGGGACGGTGGCTTAATACTTAAAACTTCATGCAAGTATTTGTACCAGTTTCATGAATTTTACGAAAAAACGAAATATGGGACGAATGTAAATATGACTTTAGTCTAAGGGACTGTACAGTCATCCTGAATAAAAGTTTCGGTTGACAGAATCAGTAAAGTAATTACTTTGTGTAAGAGACAAAGATATAATATAAGTATATTGCATGTTGATATTAACTTTTCTGGCAGCAGAAGAATAAAATGGCTCGGGATCATTGTGACACGAAATAATTTAACGAGCATATGGAAATCTACCGCAAAAGTGCGCTCCGCACTTTGGGGCGATGGGTGCGCTGTACTAGTGACAGTTAAATCCAATTGTTCGGACAGGCAAGAGTTGACGATAGGTGTTGTTAACTAGCTGCCTTCCTTTTAGCCAATCAGCTCAAAAATAGAGATGTTACGCATAGATAGCCCTTTGCGTGAAAACTTTCTAAAAAGTTACATACAAGCGTTGTGAAATCAAACATCAATTTAGCATAACAAAAAATATTGTAAAGCTGATTACGTGTAGTCACTTCCATAGTTTTATTTCTTCAGTGCCCAATAGCACAGCGGTATGTCTGCGGACTTACAACTCTAGAATCCGGGTTTCGATACCCATGGTGGACAGAGCGCAGATAGCTCATTGTGTAGCTTTGAGCTTAATTACAAACAAACAATTTCTTCAGAAATTTGTCTACCGAGTGACACCTACAGGACACTGAAGCCAACTTAGTGTCATTTTTTTATATTGCTTTAAGAACAATGTAACGTTCAGTACCATCCATTTATTTTGGAAAGTTATCTTTTATATTACCATACGTTCTTTAAATGTATTTTGTTCATCTGGAAAGAGGTTGAAAATCTTTTATTATATACCGAGAATTAATTATTTCCTCTTTTTAAAATTTGTGAAGATGGTTGCATCGTAAAGTATGTTAAATTTAGTTTTTTGGCATTACGTTTATGTTACTATAACAATTATGTTTTGCCAAACATCTCCTTTTCCTTTTATCGTCTTCTGTTACAAAAAATAACTGATGTTTACAATATACAAGTGAAAGAGAGAAACTAAAATTACAAAAATTAATATTTCTTTGAAGATTTGTTAAGCATTGCAAAAATTATATCTTTTATAAAATATTTATAAATATACATAACTTAGTATGAGACCTTTCCTGAATAAATACACAGTTATTGGTACTTCCTTGTGCGTCTATTTTTTCTTCTTTTTTAGATTTGTTTGTGTAAATATGTCAAATGTACGTAAAATTAGAGAAAATATTGCTTATGTGTAAATATAAAAACGTCGGTTTTACATATCTTTTGAAATAGGTGTAAGGATAATAATTGTGTTATTTTATATACTGATGAAGAAAACTATTTGAAAAAAAAACAATTAATATCCACAAAAATAATCCCGAAATTATGTTGTGTTTCGGGAAAAATTAATTTCTGTTTTTTTATGTGTTTGCATTTAATTTTCTCCACAATGAAACGTTTGTGTAACTGCATCAATACAGGATAAATAATAATTAAAATTCAGAAATAAAACAGAATGCAATTAAACCTCGTTTCACCCCTGTGGTTTTAATGTAGTCAGTTAATAACATTATATTTTTACATATTTCGAGTTTCCCAGTGTCTCAATAGTAAATATGGGGGATTACCACGTTAAAAATTGGGTTTAGATACCCGCAATAGGCAGAGAACAAATATTCCTTAGCGTAGCGTTGTGATTAATAATAAACAAACATGTTTCAGGGTTGTATGAAGCGGTAAGGCCAGTCAGGCCATGGCTTGACTACATTTTCATGGCATGTATAACTACAACCTATGTATTAAAACTTGTTTCTTTTAATTCAATAGATTACGTTGTGTGTATGCACTAATTGTAGTTAAGATGGCTCAAGATTCAATATCGTAGCATTAAAGTTTTAGCAATGAGGCAGTGGCTTGACCACTTTAAAATTACTTCCTACGGCAATGTGTTTTGAAAATATTTGTTTTTCTCTGGGAAGGGAAAAGTTTAATCATTATTAAACTTAACAACATATGACACAACAACCAATAGCTATTGATCTTGGTACAAAATATAAACTGATACATTGAAAAAATTAAAATTATTAAAATTTTTAAGAAATTTTAAACCTTGTAGATAATAATATTTATTATCAACAAAATTAATAAATATTTTATTTTTTTAAAGTTTACTTTGTAAGCTCTCACTCAGCAGTCCTCCTTATAAGGTAAACTACAATACTGTGTATAAAATAAAGTTGAACTAATCAAACGTTACAAATCTTACCAAAATCTCAAGGCTAAGGTCTCTGCAACATCTCTAATTTTTGGATGTTGTGATACATCTTTCCTGCAAGAAACTAGGCTAATTGTCAATTAGTGAACTAGGCCTTGGACAGAGCTAGAAAGAACCGAAGTTAAAATGTGTTTACTTGAGCGACTTTCTCTGTCCAAATTGAACTGGAAGAAAAACAAAAAAATTTAAAACATTTAGATATTAACTAAGGAAGCTAAAAAATACAACGTGCCTTCGTGTATCACATTTATTCCTCCTGTCACTTCCAGGCATCTCCAATCGTTTCTAATTTTGAAAGTACTAAAAGACAAATTAAATTTTAAGCGCGAGTTCTTCAACAGCATAACTCGTCTTCTCTCCAGTAAAATTATCTCCCTTAATATTAAAACAGTACTGTAGCAAATGGTTACACAGCTTACCTACCCTCCATTAGGAGGGAGGCCCAATATGGCCAAGTGGTTAGGGTGCTCGACTCGCAATCCGAAGGTCGCATGTTCGAATCTCCGTCCCACCAAACATACTCACTCTTTCAGCAGTGGGGACGTTATAATGTTAAACGTCAATCCCACTATTCGTCGGTAAAAGAGTAGCCCAAGAGTTGGCGGAGGGTGGTGATGACTAGCTGCCTTCCATCTAGTCTTTCACTGCTAAATTAGGGATGGCTAGCGCAGATAGTCTTCGTGTAGCTTTGCGCGAAATTCAAAACAAAACAAACATATTACACGACACAAAACCAAAAGAAAGAAAGCACCTTCAAAGAAATACATTAATACAGAAATGCACTTCACCAAAGAAACTCTTACATGATCCAAAGCCCTTTAAAAATGAAAACACATTTACCTGTTAAGATAAAAGTAAACAAAAAAACAACAACATAAAATATAACTCTTAAACAATTAAAGTTATACATTAAATAAAAACCATTTACTCATGACAAAGCATACCTTTAGTGATGAAACTATACAACAAGTGCAAGTTATAAAATATAAAACTATTTAATCAAGATAACATTTTAACAGAAAAACGAGGCCTCTTTTACACCGATAAAACATGTTGCAAATCAAAATACTCTTTAAAGTTAAATTGAACTAAGTATATTTAAGCAAAGTTATTCCCACAAAAGAAAACTCTACTTATATATAGGATTCAAAATCATATAATATACACTACATATAGCTCGAATGCATACGAATATACGTCTATACAAAGTATCTTAAGAACATTTCCATATATATAGCACTTAGAAACATCAATAAAACATAATCTGAACAAAAGTACATATATAGACTAAACAAAACAAAAACCCTTAGTATTAATTACGCTCTACTGATGATACATATGTAAATTAACTCAAACTAATTAAATGAATAAATAAAAAAAATAATTCAAGATACATATATAAACAACCTGCAGCCACAATAAAAAAAGTCTGTTTGTTTGTTCTTCAGTACAAAGTTACACAATAGGCTATCTGTGCTGGACCCACCAGTTTTTAGCGTTATAAGTCTTCAAATTTACCACTGAGCCACTAGGATGAGGGGGAAGGCTAATAAAAAAAGAAAGAGTTTGATTACTCATGATAACTTGAGAATTCCTGTACCCAGAATAAGTTCAGTGGCTTGATGTATCAACGACAGATTTCTAGGAAATAAATGTAGGCTTAACAGATGATATCAGTATCGCTTGTCATAACCACCACGATGTGTAATTAAACTATCCCCCATTTCAAAAGTAAATTTCAGCACACTTTTAATGGAAATTCTGTTCTTATTTTCAGCAGAAAAATCATTTCACTTTGAGCGTATTGTGATAACTCAATCACCTTGTTGATAACCACACTAATGGAGTAATATTCGTAAGTTAGGCGTCAATCTAAGACACTTGTCAATGTTACTCATGTTTTTGTTTAAGTCAATTAACAAGACGCTAGCTTAATTGTATAGACCTGCTAATTAGGTGTCATTATTACTAGTAAAGGCACTATGTCTTGAAATCGGGTGCTCCCCTTTTCTTATACTTCTGCCCCTTTAAAGTGGGAGGGCTGATTAAGTTATGAATGCAGGCATAAAGCTTTAGCCAGTGCCTTTGGTTATGATTACAAGAATGAAAAGGTGCATGATCTGTAGTCTTTCACGGTTCCAGCCTGGATTTTTCGAAACTGTAGTTATCTTCCTAGTAATTGAGTAAGATACTTCCTTAGTATCTCAGGTACTTATATCTGAGGATGGAGGGGAGTTTAAGAGGCCTTGCCCATCTAGATGAGGTTCAGTGCCCTCCACCAGTTTCATATTTCAAATGGATATATTAGATTTTTTTTAATATCGATGTTTGTTTAAATTAAATTACATTTATATTTAGAAATGTACATAACACATACTGTTAAATATCTATTGCCTATTCTCTAAAGTTGTGGAAGATTCTCATCAATATATGTGTGTACGTAAACGCTAGTGTAGCTTTGTATTGTTACGTAATCTGAAT